TTTGAGATCCTAGCTGTCTTTTTCGTTCTGGCCATCCTGCTCTGCATAGACACAGATACAGTCGGACTTTGTATAAAGGGCAAAGATGGGTCCGGAAAAGGGCAGGCGGCACTCCTAGTCCTAGATTCAGCCGTCCCCGGTGACTGGCTGATCACTAACCTAGGTCGTGTCGTGTGCTTCCGTGGTGCCATTTCAGAAAATAAAAGGAAAATTAAGAGTAAGAGAACTGAGTTACCTGAACGAGTGACGGTTGATGAAGTTCTGGAAGTCCGGTGCAGTCGGCTTGTCAGAACAGGCGGTAGGCAGAAAAGGTCTAAAATGTCAGAGCAAGTTCAGGGGTCCGAATGTTCTCAAATAGTTCTCAAAGTGTGAAAATGACTCGAGACAACTCTCCCTTATATAGGCGAAGTGAGAAGGCGAAGGGTCACTTTCAGAATTCAGAATTTGGGCGGGAAAATCTCTCGTCCTTTCGCCGACTAACACCTGTAGCAGGTCGTCGCCCGTTACTGTGCGACACCTGTCACAGGTAACACGTGACCAGTCACGTGCCACCTGTGAGGGGCAAATGATTAGGGGATTTTTTGCTCCTACCAATCGGAATGCGCCACGTGGGCCAATCAGGACCTGCCAAGTGTCCCCTAGTTGGAACTGTCAGGGCTTGCCACGTGGCACGCGCTCGTTCGTCCACCTTGGACCTGTTATGTCACGACATGTGGCATACTCCATGCCTAATGGAGAAACCGGCCACCCAGGCCCAACTTCCGAGGGAAGCCCAATCGGCCCTAGGTTTACCTAAACCTAGGATGGGCACGTTTCCCAAGGTTATAAATACCTCCCTTAATCCTCATTAAGGGGGAGAACAGAAACATTACGGAACACACTAATAACCGGCTGATCTCGCTAACAAAGCAGATTACCTACATTAAACACTCTCACCTAGAGAGACCTTATTACTTTAATTTCCGCATTAATTACTCCTTAATCAGGTACTAACTTGACCGTTGGAGGCGGAGCTCATAGGAGTCTCCGTTTTTTTGCAGGTACAGGCGTCCGGTTCTAGTCTCGGAATTGTAACTCTCCCGCAGGACATCAGAAAACCCCGAAACACCTGGTATAAGAGGCTTGCTGATATCCACCCATACTCTGGCTTTGATGTCACATCTAACTGGGTTTTGTAAAGATTCTTCATCATAAAACAATATCTTCCCAATTCTTGCAAAGGCAGTGCTAGCAACCTTGATGTTATAGGGGTAGTCCTTCAATTCTCACCTACATGTATGTGAAATCAAATGGCATGGAACGTAGCGCATGCCCGATCAGGCACAATTTTAGGACTAGGAGAGCCCCCTTGTAGTTTGTCACTCCGTTCCTTGCCAAGGATTTGCAGTCATCTAGGTTAGTGAACTTAAAGAGGAAAACATCTGTTACTTTCTCTACAGTCACTAGAACTTTGGTGAGCCAGCTCGAGAACACCCAAGCTTGAATTTCTTCACAGGAAAAATCCTTGTTTCTCCAATCTTTAAATTTCCCAACCACTATTCTCCCTACATCCGCATGTGCTTTTAGCTTTTCATCTGCTGTTGGGCGTATAACAGGACCCATTTGTCGGATGTTTGAGAAAAAGAAGAGGTTTCTGTTAGGAGGATTAAAATCCTCTAAGTCTGCCATAAAACCGGGCGATGAGTAGAGCTAAGCAGTAAGTTGAGAACCAAGGGTAGGGTGGGAATGAAGGAGAAGAAAGGGGTGGGTTTTCAAAAGGAGTGAGAGCAAGTGAGCTAAGAGAAGTATGCAATTAGAGAGAGATGCTCTAGAGATCTAGAGAGAGAAGTTTTGGTTGACTAGTAAAAACTTCAAGTGTAAATTTAATGCTTATATGTAGCCCTAAGGGCTATGTATAACATTTTCCCTGGTATTATAGGAGAATTCTGATTTCTGAACTTCGTGTCTCTTCCAATAGCTCATTAATTCATATGTCTAATTCTAAATTCTAGCAATAACCTCTTTCAAAAAATAAAATATTTTTGTTTTAATACTAAAGATTTCAAAGTGAGAGATTTAGGCCCTGTTCTTTTGAGCATAGCAGGGGTCAGCAGAGCAGATTTCAGGATAGTAGAGCAGAGCCGAGCCGAGCCGAGAAGATTTTAACATTATTATTAATACTATTATTAATGTTATTATTATTAATGTTGTTGTTGTTGTTATTATTATTATTATTATTATTATTATTATTATTACTATTATTATTATTACTATTATTATTATTATTATTATTATTATTATTATTATTATTATTATTATTATTACTATTATTATTATTATTATTATTATTATTATTATTATTATTATTATTATTATTACTACTACTACTACTATTACTATTAGTAATACTATCATCAATGTTATTATTATTAATGTTGTTGTTATTACTATTACTATTACTATTACTATTAGGGTCTGTTCTCTCACGCTGAAATTCAGTTCAGTTCAGTTCAGTTCAATTGAACTAAATTGAACTGAGCTGAGCTGAATTGAACTGAACTGAACTGAACTGAATTTCAACGTATGAGAACAGACCCTTACTATTACTATTACTATTACTTTTACTATTACTATTACCATTACTATTACTATTACTAAGTGCATATACCATTTAGGTGAGTGAAAACATAAATATATGTATACCATATTTAACATATGTTAATAGTAGAAAGATAAAAGACAACGGTTTACTTATATTTATTTCACAAAAATTTTAAAATAAAATGATTTAATGAGTAATAATGATTTTACTTATAAATTTGTCTTAATCATATATTTTTAACCCTAAAAGTAATAATGATATACAAAGTACTACTTCAAAACAACCTCTTTTTTTTTAATTCTTAAATTGTATGGGAAGATTTGAAAAATAATTCAACTCAATGAACTAACAATCAATACCCACATACATATAATGTTTCTACACATTGTGATTCTAATATCAAATGTTTATAAAAGAAATTTTTATTTATTGTTATTATTATTATTTATTTATTTGAAAGAATTGTTATAATTATTAGAAATTATTAATTAATAATATTATTAAATATTAATTCTTAATAGTTTAAATTATTAAATATTAATAATGATAACTATTATTATTAAATATTATTATGTTTAATAAATATTAATTATTATTAATATTAATAATTATTAAAATTATTTTTAATATTAATAATTATTATAATTATTCAATATTATAATATTATCATCAATACAATATTAATTATTATTATTATTGAATATTAATTATTATTATTGTTATTATTAATTATTATTTGAAAATAGAGTAAAGCAGAGCAAATTTTTTTTTGAGCAGAGCAGATTTGATTTGAGCAGAGCAGAACAGACTCAGCAGAGCAGAGCAGCTCTAAAGAACGGGGCTTTAGGATATTAAGAGCAAGAATTGATAGAGTCTAAGGGCCTATTCTGATTTACTGAACTGAACTGAGCTGAGCTGAGCTGAACTGAATTGAACTGAACTGAATTGAACTGAACTAAACTTATTAGAGCTGAACTGAACTAAACTTTTAAATCTTTAAATTCAAGGAAATCGACGAGCTGCAGTTCCAGATTCTGAGGGTCAAAAAGCCAGAACGAACGAATACCGCCCGGAATTATTCAAATAAAGAGAATCCGGCCAGAAAGCTCCCCCCGAGGGGTTAGGGGGAAACGGTCCCCCTTTTTTTCACTTTAAAGTCCAAAATAAAGATACAAACTTTGGAGCTTCCTTGCCTAGCCTATGCTTCAAGACCAGTTTCAAGCTTATCACAAGGAACAATGAGCTTGGTCCCTTCCCTTTCCATCCTCCTATTTGTAGCTCCACCCGGCTTTTCAAGACCAGGGCTGGCGCGAGGCAGGGCTTTTTTAGTAGGAGTTCAATGTAGTCGGATGGAACGGAAGCGTATATAGGAAACGAATCGGGCATCGCTTACGGCTCGACTACGGATTGAGAAGTAGAAGTCCAACCGGGCCACTCTCTCCTCAATAGGTTCTAAGAAGGAGGCGATTTGAACGCGACCCCCCAACCCCACGGGGGAGAAGCTTACGCTAAGTGGTAAGGCATTGGTTTTTTGTACCGGCATGCCCGCCGCCGCCTTCTGACCCGCGAGAGTATACAATGACAACTTCCGGACACTCATGCCCGATCGCGAGACAATCCATCATTGGTTAAGGCTTCCAAGTGGCTTTACAAACTACAATAGAAAGAACCCAATGACTGATCCTGGGTTCAGTACATGACTATCAGTAGTCACGCAAAAAGGCCTTCTTGTGCCATAACCGGGTTTCCCCCTAAACTGCTCAACTGAGCCAGCATCTCTATCCTTTCGATCCAATATTCGTGTGCAACTGATTCAATAGGGGAAAGGGAACCCCGAGCAGACCGTATTCGTGTGCAACTGATTCAATAGGATCGGACAACTGAATTGAATATTATATGAGAGAAGTATAAGGAAATTAAGAACTGAAATGAAATAAATTTATCGGAGCTGAACTGAACTGAACTGAACTAAACTGAAAATAAGCTGAATAAAAGAGGCCCTAAATGATCAATAATTGCATTAATTTTTTTAATAATGCATTTTACACAATGATACGTCAAATCGAGCATATGGTACCTAGACGGTATCACGGTACTAACTTAATCCAGTCATTTATGATTTTAATGTGTATTATGTGTATGTCCTTGTACAACTTTTATGGGGTGAAAACTGTCTCCTGATTACATTATCCATTATTTCTTCTGCAACATACTTCGCATATAACCAATAGAAAGTATGTTCCATCTTGTAAAAAAAAAATATACATCACACAACTCTCTTCATTTGTTATACTACGCACATATTATTGTCTGAATATTTGTCCCAAATACATAAAAAGCAAGCATTAAGAACAACTATGTCTATGATTAGCAAACCAACAATAGTTAAAGAGTACATAAAAATACAGAAAACAAAAAATATCACACAACTCTCTTTCGTTGTTATGTATACTGTATGAATATTTGTCCCAAATACATAACAATTGCGAGCTTAACCTATGAAATGCCTTTATAAAAGAAAAGGTACAGCGTATTAGCTAATAAACTCATGGTTAGTAGTACACGCAGAGCAGAACAATATCCAGCAAGCTTACATGCTAAATATACTACAGAGGTCTTCAAGCTGTATGTCACGTCTTTGTTTAACCATGCATTACACTGAGTTGGATTTGTCATCCTCAGTATCCAGCTTAGCTTTTTCTGAAGGAAAGTAATCTCTTGCCATGTTTCAAGTTCATGTACAAATACCAAAACTGTGTTCAACTAAAAGCTACCAATATCATGAATTGGTATGAGTATAGAGTATGATGACAGATCCATACAGAGACTAGATATTGCATAAGCACTTGATTAGGTAGTACTTTTGACCACAAACCTAGCAAGGCAATGCCTGATCAAACATGAGATCGCCGTTTTCTAAATTTAGAACGACGATAGTAGAGCCAAAGGGCCCAGAAAACAAGTATGATTAATTGCAGGAGTGCCAACACCTTCAAATCTGCATCAATCAAATCAATCAAAAAAAAATGACAAACCAAGGAGAAAACTAAATCATAGTGCAAATAACAAGGCCTTTCTTGATTAGTAAAACCTTTTAGATTCTGAATCATGTCCAATCCGCCATGAGGTTTGCTTTCATTTCCCAATACAACATTTGAAGTCTGGTGTAATTCAGTCTTGTATACAATACTGCCTCCCATGATACATGTATTGGGGCAATGAATGACACCATCATATTCATCACTCCCATCACAGCAATCTGCATAAGAAAAACTAAAAGTTAAAAGTGCCTAAAGATGGATAAAATATGTAATATGATACAGCTAGTACAGGCTAAAGAGTTCCAAACTGAATACGTGTGAATAAGTTACGCCAATGCAAATGGATAGGATTAACACTACATTAATATTTCCCCTTTTTCTTACCACAAATATGGTCATTGACACGAGATGAAAACAAGAAGTGCGGCTGACTTCCAAGATTCCTACAATAGAACTTACCCCCAGGACATGCTGATGTACCTACAGAGAAATGGGGGGAAAAAAAAAGGAATGATGAAATTAAAAGTTATAGGAGGTAAATAGAGATGTAGAAATGGTATTTACAGCTATACAATGATATGCAGACTATGCATTCCTACTCAACCCCCTTCAATCTCAGGAGGTTGAGGGTGGAGGTTATTTCCATATGTGAAACCTCAGGAGGAACTAGAAGTTTATAACTTCATATAGCATAGGGAAGACAGGGTGTTGAATGCGGTACAATTATCAAGCCTTTTGAAATGGAACTCATATAGTACAAGAAGCAAAGGTTATTGCTACAGTTTTTTCACAGTGAGTAAATGAAATAATTATACCAAAAAATTGTGATTATTCAGAAACACCCTGCAAAGGTTCCACCTTGAATAATTGGACAAACATTCTGCTCAAAATCAGAGTTAAATTGCAAGGATAGAACAATAAAGAGAAAATTACAGTAAGCAATATGACGCATTAATATATTCAGGGTGTGTAAACCAACACAGACTAACCACTCATTTGAGAGGAATGACACTCCCTCAATAAAGTTCAATTAATACATTTAAGAATCTCTCTTTACAACTTGCCTATTCATCATAATGGTGCCTAGCACAATACTGTATGCTGTAGCCCTTATCGAATCTACAAAATACGCCTGTAACAAAAGCAGAGTATTTCACTTTGTGATTATAAAGCTCCTCAATTCCTTCTGGTAATGTGTGTATGATGTGTGTGTGTGGGGGGGGGGGGGGGGGAGCTACATTGTTTTCCTGGGATCTCGATTTCCCTTGTAGGAAGAAATCATGTCAGGTAACAGAATAATCAACCATTCAAGAAACTAGAAATATCATTTCATGGAACTCCTATCACAATATAATGACTTCAATTCAAATCAGCTAACTTCCACATTTCTGCTAACCTAGAATGTGTTGTGAGTCTTGTGACTCATGCCCTCCGCCTTACATGTTACCTTATGTTATGTGCAATAACTGAATTATCCAATTAATTACTGGCAATGGCATAACTCTTTAGAGTGGAAGAAGCTATATATATATATATATATATATATATATATATATATATATATATATATATATATATATATATATATATATATATATATATATATATATATATATATATATATATATATAAAGATCTTAAAAGTGAAGACTACTACAAAACAATTAGGATAGATTGTCATTCTGTTTTTAGGAAGTTAGAAATCTAGCATTGATCGACAATTAATATTTAAATTTGATTATTGAGATTATACTGAAATTGGCAATATCAGGATACTCCCAGATGATTGAAGATTAATTTAGTTTAAGTATCTCAAGGAAAATATTAAACTAAAAACTAATTAAATCATAATTACAGCCCAAGGAAGTAAGCAACCATCTTCACTACACCTTCAACCATATAAAAGTGTACAACTATCATTGGAAAAAACTCGTGCAAGAGCACATCCTGAAACAACAAAGGATTGCAGTCTAGCATCCTGTGATGAACCTCCAACTGTAAAGAGTTAAAAAAAAATAGCATAAATGGCTACACCCAAACCGCCAGAGATCCACAACAAAAGACAGACCCTGTGCTACAAACCCAAAGAACTAAGCAACTAACAACCACCACCCTAAATACATACTTCCTCTATTCCAAATTAGTCAACACATTTGTTTTATCAATTTGTAGACGAATAAATTCAACAATTATAATTTCTAAGATATTTATGAATCAATAAGCAAAATTTAGAAAAGTTTATATTTTGAAAATACACGTTGAGAGATATCTATAAGATCATGATTATTTTTCTTATCTATAAATCACAAAAACTACGGAGTAGATGAAGCAGAGTCTAAGAATAGTCAAAAGTCAAAACTTGTCAAATAATTTGGATTAGAGGAAGTACATTCCTAAGTAAACGTTATAATAGATTTAATGAAAAGCAGACTGCTATAGCCCAGCTATTCAGGAGCTACACCAGCATTAACTCTTAACTCTTCAAAATACATGCCAAAACCAAATCGAGTCATTTTGTTTCAAATCACAACTTTGCCATACATATTCAAAAACCCTTCAACACTTGCTGATAATTTCAAAGCTTGAGCAATTGCTCCACTTCTTAGGGAAAATCTTAACGAACAATTCCTCAAAAATGTAAATAAGTAGCACTTCAATTGCTTCCTACACTCACCCCAAAGCATGTCCGTTTTCACACTTTCGAAATCCATCACTAATCTACTAATCAGTCGATAAGCAACAATAACCAAAGAATACTCTTATTGAAAAAATGACAATACACAATTCATTGAACCCAAAATATAAAACAAAATACCCTTGAAATAAAAACATAAATGACAATCTGATCACCACAATAGAAGTATACCCAAAACATGCGAATTGGTATGTGCAACTATTACATTAGAATTAGGTAGCCCATTGCATTCTCATACCCATTTTCGTACCGCAAAGACTAATCAAATTGTATAAAAACCAGCATCAATAAAAGAAAAAAATTACACCTAAACAAAAAAAAGACCACAACAATAAAGTCAATAATAGTGTCATCAACCCAACACAATCACATAAACTATAGTTGTTGCCACCAAACTTAAGAATACATAAAGGGTTTAAGAAGGAATACCGGGCTCATCGGTGCCGTCAACGCAGTCGCAAAAGTCGTCGTTAAGACGATTTTTGGTGAATGAACTCGAACCGTCTTTGCAGTTAATAACATCTATATTGAAGTAATTGATGTCTGCAATTTTCAAAGAAATGACTTGAAATTATGTATGACATTTCAAATTAGTAAGAAAGGTATGTATGATTTTGTGGGTTTTGACAGAGAAAGTACCAAGGGGATGAATTCCGCGAAGAACAACAGATGAAGCAGAAGGTATGAAGAAGAAACAAAAGCAGCAGAAGCAAAGGAAGTGAAGAAATGGTGTCTTTGGTGTCTCCATTTCTGAGTATGAATTTAGAATTTTTGTGTTCTAAATATGGATGTTATTGAAAAAGTTGAATTGAGAAATGAACATTTTATTGGTGTTTTAGGATCTATTAACAAGAATTATCTCACTGCCTAAAAAAACAAGAATTATCTCAATTTATTGTTTAAATAAAACTAAGGGCGTGATTTCAAAAAAGACTAAGGCCCTATTTGGGAGTTAGCTGATAATTGTTAGAGATTAGATAGTTGAGTTAACTGATTTGACTAGCTGATTGTGGTAGATGATTTGACTAACTGATTATATTAGTTGTTTGTGTAAAACTGTTTGGTAAGTAGCAATTAGGTATAAGCTGTTTTTGAGATCAAATTACCAAAAAGCTATAAGCTCTTCCAAAAAGCTCCAAATATAAGCTTTTTGAAAAAGAGCTTTTTTATCCCAAAACTCTCTTCCGAACCTCTAACTACCAAACACCCGAAATAGCTTATTGAGTTGGTCAAACCTCTCTTTCCTCTCAAACCTCTCTTTTTCCCTCAAACCTCTAACTCCCAAACACCCCCTAAAAGTTTGAGCAGCATAACTATAGTTTTAAGATTTTAAATTTAAAATTAATATGATAAAATTTATAGAATAAAGAAAAACAATTAAAAAATAGTCAAGCTTAATAAGGTACTCATGAAATTGAAAATGACAAAATTATATATAAGTACATAAAGTATATACGTAGTATATAAAATAGAAAAGAGAAATCGAAAATAAACAAGCCCTTTAATTAATTTTAATTTTGGAATGATCTCTTTTTACAATTGATTATTAAAATTAATCTTAGTCATTAATTTGCCTAAATTTTATTTTATATTATTTTTATTTTCTAATCATTCTCACTTAGGAATTTTTTTATTTTTCTAAATATTTATATTGTTTGATTTTGTTATTTTTGAAAATCAATGAAATGACGATTTTTTTTTTCTAATTATAATTTTTCTCACATATGTATTGTTTGATTGTGTTGTTTTTCAACAATCAATTAAATTAAGATTTTTTTTTTGGTGTGTCTCCTTGAGCAATGAGAAAACTTTAGTTCACTACAAAATAATTTTGGAAGACTAAACTTATAGAATTCATAACTTTTCATTATATATACATAACCAACATATTTCATATTAGACGGTTGTTAGAAATTGAAAGAACAATGTATTATTATTCATACTAGTGGTAACAGTAATTTATTATGATATGAAATTGTCAGAACTCAGAAGCAACAATGTTGGTAAGATATTGGCTAATGATATAAGTTAATTATTATCAAAAAATAACTTTATATTATCACCCGCCTAATTTTTCGTTATCAATCTTCTCATTTGAATTGCTCTGGCAGTCTGGCTCATAAAATACTAAATTCCAACCTTAATCTTCTTGTGATCAACCTACACATCCTAGATTAAACTATCATAAGCTCTTAGTTGTTTTTTAACAGTAAACCATCTTTTCGTGCTCAAAATATGGCATAGTTCATCAACTTCTAATGATGTTTTCTTGTCATTGTCTTATTTTTAATTTGAATATAAGTGCAATTCTTTCTTAAATTACCTAAGACTCTTAATATATAAACAAAACATAGACTATACTAGAATTTCTTTCCTTTGGCCATCCTAATCAATGTTCTTTCTCTTCTTTTACAAATAATCACAGTATAATTAATCATATATATCATATTCTTTTTGTTCTTGAAACTTATTAATTTAGATTAAAACATATATAATTTTTATCTTCCTTTTCTCTATTAAAACGATGCATAGGACAAATGGAATTTCTGGAACACACCAAGCATGTGCAGCATGTAAACACCAAAGGAAGAGATGCACTGATAAGTGCATATTAGCTCCATTTTTTCCAGCTGAAAAAGTTCGAGAATTCCAAGCAGTTCACAAGGTATTTGGTGTTAGCAATGTCCAAAAAATGGTGAGGAATTTGCATAATGACGAAGACCGTAAACGGGCAGCGGATTCTCTTGTTTGGGAGGCCTTGTGTCGCCAAAAGGACCCAGTTTTTGGTCCATATGGTGAATATCGCAAAATTTATGATGAACTCAAGTCATATCAAAATCAAGCCCATGCACAAGTCCATCACCAAACAGGTCATTTTGTGGCCCAAAATGGGCACTCTAATGGATCAGTGTACAAAACAGGAAATGGGCTGATTGGGTGGAGTGTAAATACTAATGGGTCAGCTGTTATTAACAAGGTGAATTATAATGGGGGAATCCATGACAATGTTGGATTGGTAGATTGTATCCGAGCCCAATGTGGACCGGTTATTGGTTCAAGTATATATGGTAATTGTGGATCTCAAGATGACTTGCATGGAGCTGAGAACGTGAGGCAAGACATAGATGTTAACGTTGGTTCAGTTGTTCCTCAACAACATCTATTGAATGGGTTTAACCATGGCCAGCATTACTACCTTCCAGGTGAATAACAACTACTGAGCTTATAATATAAGCTTAGTAACACTATGTTCAATAGTTATTACAATTGATGAGTAAGATTGGCTTCTTAGAGTAGATTATATCAAGGTTGACACGTTTTGAAAATAATACAATAAATAATTGATTATCGTAAGCTATTGGTCAATTATGATATATAATTTATTTTCGTAAGATTTTGGTCAATCATCGCGAGATATGGTCAATTATGATGTATAGTTTATTTTTGTAAGATTTTGGTTAATCATCGCAAGATATTATTATTTATGATTATGCATTATACTCTTGGCATGCTAGAAAAACTTATTAGGTAGGGCTACTCAATCTTATTTATAATATAATGAATTACATATCAGGTAGGCTACTCAATCTTATTTATAATATAATGAATTACATAAAATTTACATACCTTACAATAGTACAATAAATAAAGATAGCTACTTGCTACATATATATTTAAAAAATGGTTGGAATTAATTGTTATTTTCGTAGAGATGAGTTACTAGCTAGATTAATCATTGCAACTTAAAATCAATTATAAAAGATTAAAATATAAATAAAATAAAATAAAAGTTATATTATTAAAGTGAAATGTGTTCTATTTCCCATAATCTTTCTATATTTCTTTATTTTATTTTTCTTCTACTTTGGGCTCTCTACATACAGTGTTATGACAGTTATCATACTAATTAATTAAAAAGTGTTCCAAATAAAATTTACATGCTACGTGACTCTCTCCTCTCATGCAAACTCACATACATAGTTAACTTAATAGTCTCATGTACTTCAACCCAAATTATAGACAGCATAGAATGTCAACTTAGAAAATAAGTTTAACCAAATAAGGGGTCAAAGACTTTAAATTTCAAAACAAATATACTAAAACTGACTTGAATTTAACTAATATTTAAATCCTCCATGATTATTCATTTGATGACAAATTTATGAGAACTGCCCCAAAAGTTCTAGATCAAACCTTGTATTAACATTCTAATTTTTCTCCTCTACCTCAATGTACCAAAATAAATTTTCAAAACATGATCTTTGTCAAACTCATGTTAAATAATGTACTTTAGGAAGATAGACACTCTTTAGGAACAAGGGGTTGCGGTCTTTCATGATACTCATCTACATTACAATTTAATTGCGTTATAAATTTTAGAGGCATAAGGTTCACGCATTTCTAAATAGCTCATACCTAAATTTAGTTGACAAATTTATTGTTTTTAATGTCATACAACAAACATAGAAGATGTAGGGTTTAGAAACCATTGACAATAGGTGTAATTAGCTCATACTACAACTATATGCATTAAGTGAGGGATGTATTCATTCTTGAACATAACCGATCCTATGTTATTAGGTATCAAGTTTCAACCTAGCACCATCATGGGTTCTTTATTGATTCTAAATCTACAATATACTAATGTGCTAACCAAACAACATCATATATAAACATATATTTTTTTCAAAGGAGTAGAATTAATGACGTGATTAAGACATATTGAATCTTTTTTTTCTAATATATATTCATTTTTCATCATTCCCACATAATTTTATACAATCAATTACTTCTTGATCAAGCGATGTTCATTACCAAGGTAACCAGTACGACTTTCCCTATTCATTGAAATATAATTTACACAATTTTGCACAACTTTTAAAATCATAATACATCTTTATGAATAATATAAATAAGTTCAGCTTTGCACCAAAAAAAAAAAAAGGTTTGAGAGGAAAATGTGATATAATATAATAGTGTGAATTGAAGGTAAATATTTTTCTTAAGAAGCTATTGTTCTTTTCCTTTTTATCGACAAAATTTTTTTGTGCTATTTTAAGCTATGCACATAATTTCATAATATGTTGGTATATGAAAGTGAAACGGTTTTTTCCTACATTTTTTGTAGGGCAATTAAGTCCAATGGATGCGAAGTCAATAGAAAGTTCATTATGGGAAGCTGGATCATAGATTACTCTGCCTTTATGATCTTCCAACTTGATTTATATGGATATACAATAATTTTTTTTTCTTCATGTTCTATGATTTGATGCACAAATTTATTAAATGACATTATTATCCATTTTAGTGTCTCGTAAGCATTCTTCTTCTTCTTTAGTTTTTTCTTCAACCTCATTTTTCTTATTAAAATGCTTCTCATTCTTCATATTTTATTGATTTGTATCCACGATGTACTCCTATTTAATTCATTTTTTTTTTGTCACATGTGTACTCTTAAGTCTTAAATCTTAATGCATGCCCATGAATTTAAAAATGTATCTAGGAGGTCAATGTAAATAAATGATATCATTTTCCCTTTTTTTTTTATAGGGATGCATCAATTTCTATATAATCAATGGTAGATTTACAGTGATGCCTAGGTGGCAAGGACCCCACTAAAATGAGCTTAAATACAGTTTTCAATGTGTTAAGAATTAATTAATTTGATCATCAAGTATAGTGTACGTACTGTGAATGTCCATGGCACACTCCAAATTTTTTCATGGCATTTAATGTAATAGTCAACCTTGTTTCCACCCTCTATGTTTGTAGCTCACAAGGTAATACTCCCTTCGTCCCCGATTGATAGTCACTTTTGAAGAAAAATCATGAGAATCAAGGAGAATTAAAGAAAGTACATTGAAAAAGTAAGGCCCTGTTCTATTCACCTTACAAAAAATAATATTAAGTAAAAATAATTTCAGTTCAGTAAAAATAAGTTCAGTTTAGTAAAATTAATTTCAGTTCAGTAAAAATAATTTTAGTTCAGTAAAAATAAGTTCAGTTTAGTAAAATTCAGTTTTCTTAAAGAAGAATTATGATAGAAAATCAGTAATAATTTCAGTTTAGCAAAAATAATTTCAATTCAGTAAAACTAATTTAAGTTCAGTAAAAATAATTTAAGTTCAGCAAAAATAATTTCAGTTCTGTAAAAATAATTTCAGTTCAGCAAAATTAAGGTGAAGAGAACAGAGCCTAAATTTACATTGGGTATGCAAAAAAGTAGAGAGAGAAAGTAATTAAAGTACATAGGAAAGTAAAATTTACATGGAAAAGTTAAATTTACACAAATATTTTTGCAAATGTTAGAGAATTTTGGTAAAAAAATAATATCAATGGTACTTGAAAAAAAGCAAACGTGACTAACATTTTGAGTCACCAAAAATGGCAAAAGTGACTATCAATCAGGGATGGAGGGAGTAGTAGTTTTCACTACTATAAATACCTATGCAAGTTCACTTGTATGAAACACAAAAATACTACCAAGAGTAATATATACGAGTATTAATTCTACCTCTCTTACCTTCTTTTCTTAATGCTCTATTTTCTTTATATTTCATAACACGTTATCAGCACCATCTTCAAGCAGATATACTTATACCGATTATCCAATTTTAGAAAGATTTCAATTTCTTTCACAAAATATATTTTGAGGATTATGTTCTATAGTTGCTCATACGAGATCTTCTATATCAGAAACTCACAATATATTTATCTACAAAATTAGTCATCTAGGCAAATATGAGGAAATCATGCATATAATATTTATGATATTTAGTTTGATTACTGTAGACACCTAGTTTTGGCCTCCTGTCCCGACAGGATGTGCAATGACGATAAATAAAACCATGTTCGTGTTGGATCGAAGAGAAGAATGCTTATGGATAACTGGTTAAACCACAAAACACAAAAGACTAGCCCAAATCAAGAAACAAAGCCAAATAGAGTCCAATTAATTAAATATGATCATAATTAGGCTTAAGCCCGTACTTAAAATCCAATGATGACGGATTTAGGAGCGCCTAGGTCTAAATAAGCGTTGCCGCAGAAAATAACGCGCGCCTCTCAAAGAGTCGCACTAGGAAGGGGCACGCAACCAATTTTAGTTGCGCTCGTGAAAGATTCAAAATTTCAGAAAATTAGAAAATTGAATCTTGCCATAAAGCCAGGCGCAAGACAATTAGTTGCGCTGCCTATAGCAGGGCAGCTCAATCACTTGTGCTGGGTGGCCGCGCGCAACTAATCTAGTTGCGCGCGACACCTGCTGCGGAAGAATGTTTAAAACCCTAAACCTACTCATTTCCTATAAATAGAGGCTTAATCCGAGGCTTAAATAGACAGAAATTAACCCTAAACTCTGGCGAAAAACTTGTGAACTTGTGCTACCTAACCCCTCTTGTCCTAAACACTCACCCCTTTGATATTTTGTTACTACAGTGGAGGTTCGCCAACAAGGAGTCCATAAGTATTTTAAACGGAGATCTAGCAAAGAGAAGTGGTAAATTCCCGAGCACTTAGATAAATCATTTTTATTTTCTTGTTTAAAAGAACTTTAATTAATTAATTAGTGTTGCTTGATCAATTTAAAAGATTTAATTAATCAATTCCACATAGTATCTTGCGTTCAATAAGATTAGAATTAAATGATTAATTATTGGTTGATCACCTAAGCCAAGGCGAATATTGTTTATTTCTTGTTATTTTCACGAATTTGATTAAATAAATAATAATGACGTTGTAATGTAATTCCTACGTGAATTAATGTGTATTGTGTAAATAAAATCAACTAACTTAGTTTTAGGTATCGCGTTGCATATATTGTTTGGTGATGAAATTGTAAAAAAAAAAGAGCTAGTAGAGGTCGTACTAGGGCTAGGATAGCGATTCCCCCCTAAAGGGAACATTATTTTAGTTCCCTCGCTCCCGATCTCATTTCTGGTTTATGTAGACCAATTTGGACATGGGTAAACTTACGATTCGTGCTAATTTTTCCACGAACTCCACACGGAAGAAAGGCATGAACGAGGTTTATGAGTTTTCCCAAAATTCATTGGCGACTCCTACTTATTTCTTATAAAAAAAGTGTAATGATAGAATCAATTCTAATTCAAGGTCCCCCAAACAATCAGGAATTCAAATCCTACTACACCTTAATAAGTGTAAATTCCTAGGCTTTTAAATGGCCATGGACATTTTAGGAAGGACCCCCTTACGATGGGATCACCCTCCTTACAGTGGCGACTCCGCTGGGGACTTAGAGGTTACATGATTAGTTCTTATTTATGGTCCAAGGTTTCCAACACTAGGTTGCCTATGGGTTGTAACTAGAATTAACTTGGATAATCTCTAGTTAGAGAGCGAGACTTGAACGCATAATATCTTCCTTTTTCGCAAAAGTAAAAACCAAACAAGCAACATTACATCATGCATAATCATAGCACACTTCAACCTTTGGGGATTGGC